GTATGTCACAGGATGCATAAAGACACATGAAAGATGATCATTCAAGAGTTATACTTGATCTTATCATGTATTTCTTCCATCTTTCAAAATAAGTCTTTCTTTACTTGAGGTTAGATCTAGCCTACTTCTAAGTTGTACCCTATTTTCTTTCTATTAGTAATAAATTAAGCTACGACGGGCGGTTATATGGATTTTTTTTTTCTTTAATTTATGTACCTGTTCCATGATTATGGGGGGAAAAACACATAATCACAAAGCATCAAGAACAAGAATAGCTTTCTCTATTGCTGATTATTTCATATAAATAATTGAAAATAAATTTAATGAAAATTATAATCTTGAAATTATCTCCCCTGGAATAAAATCCTTCGAGAAAATTTCGATAGAAAATCAAGAAAAGTTTAAACCATGATATTACGATGCACAATTTTCACATCCTTGTGCCACCCCCACACCACATCCCCCACACACACAAAGACAGAGAATACCCAAAAAATCAATAAATTTGTTCTTCCAAACTGTTCGTCGACAAACTATAAGAACTCTAGGGAGGATCTTTGACAGATCTCGAGGCATTATTATTCCTCATTTAATTTTTATCAAGTTTTAAAGGCTTAAACACTTGACATATTGATTCAAACAAATCTAGTCATGAAAGTAGATAATATTGAGAAGTGAGAACTTAACTTACATAAGGTCATCAAGTCCTTTGTGAGTTAAAAACTTCTAATCGTCCACAGAAACGATTATTTTCTAAAAATTTTAGAGAACTCAATTATCGTGAAGAAATAATTACTTCCCTCAATAATCATTTATTCAAAGTATAAGGACACCAGCGCGATTTTTCCCAAAATTGTCCTCACATTCTACAGTTGCATCAAAAAAGCAATTTTAAAGAGCAAAAAAGTACCCGTTTCACTTGTCCTTTTTGCAGCCCATAATTTTCAAAGCACTAGCACAATAATTCTCAGAAAGCAGCTCGAGAAACGTGAACTGATACAGTGAGAAAGTTAAAGATTAAGCTGAAAAATGGGAGTTTCTATTCCTGTTCCTGTAATTATAATCTCCCTTCACGTC